AAGTAAAATTAATAGAAGTACAAAACCATGTTATGCAAGGACACGGGCACAATTTTTTTCTCATTTCCCCACACAAAAAGACGCCATTTCATTCATAGCCTAATACTACAGGCCAGATTCCAGACCAGTGTAAACTAGCATAGTTCCACTGGCTCCAACGAAGTTATAATGATTTATACCATCTAAAGATACCTTTAAGCCTTCTTTCTTCTCGTTCCTCCTTTTTCTGTGTGAGACTATTAACTGTAAAGTCTCGGGGGTCTTGGATTTAATTTCATTTCATTTTTGTAAATCTCTGGGCAACTTTGCTCAGACTAGCCCATACGTAGAATTATACAAAGTTTAATGCATTATAGTTTCCTATCAGTTACCAGTAGATTTAAAATCTTAATGAACTTGGCATAATATTAGAGTGAAAAAATCTATGTGGAAATAATTACAGGGAAAAATAATAGCAATATCTAGTGATTTAAAAAGCTCTGTTTCATGTAGGCAGTGCTAATAGGGAGCAAGTACAAGAAAAACACAAAATATTTCACAATTCAGCCTTTAAAGCATGTGAGAGAGACAAAAACACAGAATAAATTTTTCAATTTGCTCCCAGTATTTAGTCATTAGCGTTATTATGAAATGACTGTGAACCTGAAAAATAGTCTGCCTCTGATTCCGGTTATACTTATGTTAGTATAAATCAGGAGTAACTCTACTGAAGTACATAGATTTACTTGGGTATAAAACTGCAGGATAAAATCAGAGAAGTGTAGGATATGAGTAATACCTGTAGTTTATTAAGTCCTTCAACCATTATGATTAGCATGAGAATTCCCCTGTACGTTGTGACTTTACATTCCTAGGACCTATTTATACAGATTTACCAATAAAATTAATAACTTCAAGCACAGTTTAAATTGGTTTGTGGCTAAATTGAATTCCAGGATGCTTTGATGTGTCACTGTGGGTTAGGTGACCATCCCTTAAAATCATGTCAAAAACAGTGTTCAGTCTTAGGCTTCTGTCTGGTTTAGCTCTAAGGCTCCATCAGCACTGGCTGGAGAAACTGCTTTAGCCACAACTGGATGTTAGCGTGCTGATAGAGATGGGTGAGTATTGGTATGGATCTGATGTTTTCATTCCTCTCAAACATTTGTGAATTTTGTTCAGGCCTGAAGCCTGATGCCTGAAGCAAGGTATTGTAGGGCAGGTAGATATCTGTGCCCAGAAGTGGATTTTCATTTCATTGCAAGTATTTTGGTTCAGGACTTTAGGACTATAATTTTTGGAAAAAAACAGCTGATAGGCCTTGAAGGCATCACAGAGATCCAGTTTGTAGTGGTAATGAATAACAATAATATATTTCATGTTATTTTTAAAATAGCTGTTCTATGCCTTAATGTTTATGGGCATCTATTGGTGTACATCTTTTTGAGAGTTAAACTTGCTGTTTTGAAGAGGAAGGGGCCCAAACCCCTTAACATTTTAACAGATTTTAAAAAGGGCTAATCATATAGCTATATTTTTATGAATTTAATCAAAATTGAAACAAAGCATCCTGCTCACCCCTTAGGTTCTGTTGTAGCAACTTGAACAGCAAAATTTGGGTATGCACAATGCACTGCTCAGGCATAAGCAGAGACCCAAAATTACCTCTAAAGCTTGTTTCAGAAACTAATTTTGGATCATTAACAAATTACAGAAAACTGTGATCTAGTTGTAGAGAATTGGGGCTAAAATAGGCATAATGAATCAATTATTTTTTCCTTAAAGCTTATCTGCCCTATTTTAATTATGTTGGCAAAAGATCAGCGTTTAACAAATTCAGAAATCCCTTTCATAACAGTCAAACTCATTGCATAATAATCTGTGCTATGTGAGACTTTGTCCTTCTGAGGAATTTTTAAATGTTATTATAATGAGTTTGCTGTTAATAATCTCAAAAGTGTCATTTTTAGATATTTGGGGTGATTAAAGCATTATTCCTAATGGTTCTAATTTCTAAATATATATTACAGCTTGTTTGTGGCATAAGCTGTGACATGGAATCATATAAAATGTGACACTAGTTTTTAATTCCTTCTCTGTTTTTCTTTTGCTACTTTGAGCTGTTGAGTCATGTTTTTAATTAAGAACTCATGCAGAATTGTCATAGGAGTGTTCAGGTAAGTGTCATTGAAAGTCCCAGCTGTTGATTTCAATTTAAAAGGCCTCTGGGTGGCTATTGTTGTTCCTCTAAGGGTCTTGAACTGCTGTAGTTGTGTGGGTTTTGTTTTACCTCTTCAACCTAACTGGCGCTGCATAAAAGTAGGCCACTAGGGTGTTCTAAGTCTTCTCTGACAGTTGTAATTGGGCCAGTGAGGAACAATGAACATAAACAGGTTTTTGGATCACATAGCCGGAATAAACTCCTGTAATAGCTACCTGATTTCTGACGACAGCCTCTAAAACAGAGCGCACCCACTCACAGACTGACACACACAGTGGTAAAGCAACATTACTTTCAGCTGTTGTTCCTTGGATTTGTTTGTTCAGTTTCTGAAGTCAGAAAACAGAAAGCTGAGAGGGGAGTGGCAGTGACGTTACTGGAAAAGGAACAAAAAGCAAAACTGTAAAAATAAGTTATAGAACTCTACCCCAAATTCGTGAATGTATTAGTGCAAATTGCTGTAGGTAAAGGCCAGTTTAGTTGACTGATTTTTTTTTTTCTTTCATTTTTTTTGGTTCCTAGTTTGTCAGCAGAATGCATTGTAGCAGTAGAGATGGAATAGCAAGCAAGCACATACAGTGCAATACAATGCACCAGAGACACTGTAGTAGTAATATTTTACATGTATATAGCACCTTTTATCCTCAAGGATCTTTAGGATCACAGCACACCATAAATTTACACAAATGCCACTACTAGGCTGGAGGACAGTAGCTAGCTAGGGCTGAACAATAGTGGGACAGAAGGAAGCTGAGTATTTCTTTGCTAAAGATGCCAGAGCATACCTTTACACTTAAAGCATATTATATGACATCTCATATTTAGATATAGCTGACAGATCTACAGCTGGTAGTAGAATGACATAAATGTACGCTTAGGGAGCAAACTGAATTACTTTTGCCTATGTTTGTGTTTGCTTCCTAGCAAATAGGTTTATTAGTAGGAATGTTCATAGAAATTGTAAATCTAAAACTAGTAGAGAATATTTGAAGAATGTGAATTTCAAATGTGTGTGTGTGTGTCTACAGGCTGATTCAGAAGGGTTATGCTGGCATCTTTGGGGAGGCAGGAATATGTCATTAGACCTGTATGTCCAGTCAAAACTAACTATAGCAATTAGAATTTGGAATATCACATAGTCTCAACATACTGTTCATATATTACTCATGGACCAAGATTTTACAAAATTTTGCTGATTTAAGAATTAATAATGGGTGTATGGCTGAGATGTGATTTGAGATAAGGCAAAGAGCCTTATCTTACTGAGTCATTTAGTCATGACATTCTGTTTGTTCAACTCTAGCATTCTCCTCCCAAAGACCCACATATCCTCACTTATGTCATGCTGAATTTGTCTCATAGGGATAGAGAATTCTGACCCTCATGGGACTTGATAAGCAAATTTTCACACACTTGCTTTTATTTGGGGTTCAGTCCTTCAACTTCTTCACCTTCAGTGTCCGCCTCCCACTCTTTATCTGTGTATCTGGAGTGCAAATTCTCCGGATGGGTTCTGCCTTTATGTGTAATAGCCAATGTAATCAAGTTATACTAACTAACAGTTGAGATTTCTAGGTCCTATTGTAATAATGTTTCTTATACTTGAATGTATAATGATCCAAATAATAGAAGTAGCAAGCATGTAGCACAGCTGTTGTTCCTGGTGTTATGGTTGGAGAGTTCATGGAGTGCACTATGTTCTTTATGTAGTAAATCCTGAGTAATGGTCTCCATTCTTAAGCTGTTCTTTTGTGGGGGGTGTTTTTTGGGGCCGGGGGGCGGTGAGGGGTTGCATACTTTGTGTTTGCATTATACCAGTTTTGATGAGAACAGTCAGAAATGCTTATACATTATCTGGGAAGAAAATCCAAAGTAAATCAGAATGCATCTCTTGTTATCCTATGCTTTGGCAGCTTTTTATTAGTGTTATTTCCTCTAAAGCTTTTAATGACCATGCAAGTACAATATATTTTTTTCACTTTCCTTATCTGGGATATCCACCATTTCTTTACATGAGCATTATATGTAGAAATACCCAGTTATAAAATATTATCAGTGTTCCCTAACCATTTACTTCTTAGTGAGATAAAACATGTTGGTCACTATTTATGTAAGTTCTGGGTCCCAGTATCTTAAAATTTACCTCTGACCTTATGCCTTACCATGGCAGATTAAATGACTGGTTATGGCTTACTAAGCCACTACTTATCGTACCATCAGAGAGCATGTCAATGCTGCAGTCAAAAGTGTGATTGTACCTTAGCTAGCTTTAAACTAGCCAGCTTGAGTAGTGCTAGTGTAGTTGCAGTAATATGGAGTCACCTCATGTTTTCCTCGGATTCTCAGGTTTGTTTTCAGATGGCACTTAGCTCTGTATTCCCTCAGCAATATTGTTATTTATGTCCAAGGTAGTGTGTTTAAAGGTAAGTTGGATAACTCCACGAAAATTGCAGAGACATATTTTTGCCTGCAGTGTGTTCATATCCTCAGTTTTTGTTTCTCAAGGAAGGCATATTAAATGTGTTAAACTTCTAACTTAGATTCTTAAGGTATCATCTTTTTTCCATTTATGTTGCAACCTCTCCAAGTTTTTTATTTGGAGAATTACAGTGCAGTGAAAAAACAGGAAGGATGAAAGTATCTCAGAAAAGAGCATCGTTGTATTATAATGTGTATTTTATTTGTTAATGTTTTGTAAACATGAAGCAGAGGAATGTTTTTATTAGGAATGTATTTTTCAAACCTAGTTTGGCATGTTTGTACAATGGAGCATTTGTCTCTCTCTCCTTTCCTCCCCTAGGCAAGAACAGGCTAGTGTTCTGTATCAGAACATCAACATAGTAGAACCAAGATTAATTCAGCCTTATGAACATGTCATTAAGAACTTCATCCGAGAGATCAAACTTCAAAGCACAGAGATGGAAACCTTAGCTGTGGCTGTGAAAAGGTACAGGGAATTATCAAAAAAATGATTGTGAAGTATGAAAGTGAGTAGGACAGTGGGTGTGTTAAAGTTGCTTGGTATCAATGGAAAATGTGTTGAACAAATATTTCCTCAACTGATGAGTTCAAAGAATCACAATTGATGTATGCACACTTGCATGTCCATATACACACAGTGACTTGAAAATGATTCAGAATTGAGTCACTGTAGTTATTCTGTAAGGGGCGACTGGATCCTAGACAGTCAGTCTGAGGAGAGTGCATGCTAGGGCAGAGGGTTACCAGAGTGTAAGCCAAGGTCAAGCTAGATACCAGTTTGAGTACAGAATATCAAGCCAAAGTTCAGGACAAGGTTATGGTTAACTGATCCAGGGTGGAAGGTCCAAGAAAAAAATAGGAATATGCAGAAGGGTCCTCCTAGAGGCTCAGAGCACAAGTCACAAGCCAGAGACTCGGAGCAAGCCAGAGATACAGCAAGGTGGTCTGTTGCCCAGGTAGCTTTCTGTTGTCTGGTGTAAGCTTATATAGCCATTGTAGGCAGGGCTTCTCCCTGAGAGATGACTCAGCCTGAATGTCAGATTACCTCCAGTTGGGGCCTGGGACCAGTTCAACCTCAGCTGGGCCTCAGCTCATTACATATACTCATGTTATATATACCTTCTCCCCCAAAAATTAGCCTTCCAAATCAGGGTGCATGTCATAAGTAGGTCAGGTAATTTTCTGCCTAGAATAAAAGCATGGAGGTGCTGTAATACTGTTGCCATGTTTCTTTCTCTTCTCTCCAGTAGCCACATGGAGAGGGGCAGAGTCTAGGTGGCAGATCAAAGGCAGGTGCAGTGGTGTGAGTGCACCCCACTTTGATTTCTGCTCCACCCAAAATTTAAAACCAGCTGCCCAGAAGTAGTTACATTTCTATTCAAGCAGTCCTGAGGGAGTCAGTTGATTTCATGACTCATTATCTACCTCAGTCCTGCTAATTGCTCTTCACTCCATAGGTGTTAACAGCCCTGTCACCTTTTTAATGGTCTTGATGTTCCACTAATCAAGCTAGCCCTTCTGCAGTTTTGCTGTCTGTTAGCTACTTGTGGTCTCTTTTCTGTTTCACAGTCCTACAGACTGTTTTTAGCTCTTTTCAAACCCATGGAGTCCAGACTTCAATAACTACAGTTTTAGCTTTTGGCTAACCTGCAAATGTGAAAACATTTGTCTATATGTTTGGGTTGGTAGGGACATGTATTTATTCTCAAATTTCCTTTAATGTCAAGGAGTAACTCCTTTAAGGTATATTTACCTTTAAATTTTAGAGCTCAAGATAAAGCAGCAATGCAGCTCAGTGAACTGGAGGAGGAGATGGATCAACGGATACAAGCTGTAGAACACAAAGTCAGGAAAGATGTGAGTATTACATAATGATTAGGGTGCTCTTGCTCTGTTGTAAGTCAGTGGCAAGATTACCATTGACTCTTGACTTCATCATGGTGCAAGAGGTAGATCTCAAGTGCAATTTTTTCAACTTGTTTTTTGATGTTTAATTGCTTGTGATACATCTGTGTGCTTGGTTTGCATGGTGCCTTAAACTGAATATGTGGTATGCTGCAGTTCCCATGATGACAATCAGTTGATTGCCAACATAGGGATTAGGTAGCCCAGGGCCTCCAAATAGGCTGGGGCTGCTCAGAGGTCTGCACGTGCTGGGTGGGGGAAGCCAGTTGGTTCCCCCACTTGGGAAGCTCAAAGCTGTAGGACTGCTAGCATGTGGTTTTGCAAGTACTGAGCATTGAGACACTACTTTGAGACCTGTGCTCCTGGCAACTCCATGCAGGGCTTCACTGTGAGTAGCTTTCCACTTAGCAGTGCACAAAGAGCCTGGGATCTCAATCCTGGACTCCACGTGTTGGCAAATTTGAAGAGTGCCTTTGGCTGCACCGACAGGATGCAATTGGATCTTACCCTGATCCCCAAAATTTTGTCATGCCATGTGGCATGGTAGAAGGATCTATTGTTTGGATCCAGGATCAGATCTCATTGCACCATTAAATTAATGTCTTCCAGAGGCTATGGTGGAGCCCAGTGTAACACAGTAAAAGGCATAAAACAATACAGTAAACCATATATACTCATCCTGTCTGCATAATGTCATTTTATGTTAAACGGCTAATAGTTGTAAATACAAATTTATTTAACTGCATACCATGCTTAAAAAATAAATTTGAATTAATTTGCATAATTAATAAATGCATCAGATTATTTTGTTGTTGTTAGTATTTTATTTGTTAGAACCCACAGCATAGCAGAACCTACTTACATACTGGAAAATCCAGTCTCTTTTGCCCAATAGCACATAATATGATAAACAGCTGAATACTACTTAGCAATTTTATCATGACTGGTTATTTGATCAGCTGATATATCAGAGTAAATGAGATTCTGATATTCATTCCTAGGTCATTGTCCTGTAGCATGTACACACAAATCCTTCTAATAGATATGATAAATCAATGATTTTTAGTATCAGTTTTCTAGCTAGGTGAGACCAAATAATGATGTAAAGGTCTCAAACATCTGAACCCTCTAAGTGGTGTATTATAATATTTAATGAAAATGCAAATTACAAAATGGGCACAAATATATTTCCTGCTGGAAAGATATTACACATTTATATCTAGAAAACAAGTATATTAGTTTTAGAATTTTTTTCTCTTGACAAAAAGCAATAAATTGACATAATAATAATTAAGAATCTCAGTAACTATAATACTATAAAAAGATGAACAGAAAATATGTATGTATTTTATCAAAGAGCAGTGACAAGAAGAATTACAATTATGCAGTTTGTCCTGTCTGGTGCATAATATCTACTTAAATGCAATGATCTATGTTATATAAAAATAGTTCTTCATGATTAAGCAAAACCGTCATAGGTTGGGTAACAAGTACTTCTTATTTCTGAATGTAGGTTATGATCTTTTTTGTAGCAAAAATTAACCTAACAAATATGAGCACTTGGACATCCTAGAATCTGACAAATGACAATCTTTTGAGAGGCCTCTGGTGAAATCCTGGCATTAGCAAATTTAACAAGAACATTCACATTAACTTCAGTGGGAGCAGGATTTTATCATTCATGCCTAGATGCATGTGTCTGGGCAGATTGCTCATTGCTCATATCATTCTTTAAATTGTTACTCCTGAGCCTTCATTTCAGTTCCTAGTATCACATAGTTTTAAAAGGTAAAACGCCCCAAGAATAAACGTATCATACAGAGATATTTACTTTGTGGGACTGAACCAAGTCATAAACCTTAAAGATTGCAGTGTACATTTTATTGTTTCTGATGGGGAGCTAGCTTATGCCATAGTGACACCTTCTTCCATGTGGTAATATTTGTATTTTGAGTGCAGCCTGCCCTCTTGTTGCTGGAAAGCAAACCATTCCTGGGCAAGTCATACTTTTAGGAGTCTATACAGGTACAAAAAGTAGGTAAATCCAATGCAAGGATGGGCAAGTCATAATCTCTCCTGGCTAAAATTTAAACATATCAGTTTTCATTTATAAATAGCATAACATGTTAAGTAAAGTTGCAGTCTTTTTGTCTGCTTCTGCATTAACATTTGACAACTCCCTCATCACCTGCCAGTGATGATCTCTTGCCAGACTTCAAGTTTGTGTGGTTGTAGGGGTTCTTACTTAAGTCACAGAGAAGCTCCACAGTGATTTTGATGTACTTGTGTCTAGGAATAAGTGTATAGATATTATGGATAAAAGAAACCTTATAGTAACACACTTCAACGTATGCTCAAAAAGTCACCCCCTCCACTGAATCACTCACAAAATAAGATGCCGTGGCTATCCTTTTACATGCTTAAATCTCCCATCTCCTCCCCTCAGAAATGACAGGAGTGATAGTGATATTGTTGTACTTATACCTAGACAAGTCTGGGATAGGTGTTTTTTTTATAAAGCAAAAATAAATATCTATTTATGACAGACTAATGCCATTACTAGCAGATTACATACAAAACTGTGTATGTCTAGTAGGAGGCTGATTTGAAAAATTGATTATGTCCCTAGAATGTATGT